AGCCTGTGGACATGTTCATAGAGCTGGGGGAGAGAACATGCAAGTTCTTACCCCTACTACAAACTGGGGGGCCTTGTTGTCTGAGCCCCCACAGGCTGCCTATTGCTTTTCTGCTTTAGGACCTGCAGGATGTGCAAAGGGCTGACAGCCCAATTTGCTTTTCCCTCGCACCCAGACAGGGTTTATTCACCCTGCACAAAGCGGGTTTGAGGTGCTGTGAAGTTGGATGTTTCTCTGCAGATCACATGCAAATCCATGGAAGTGCTCACTCACATGGCCAGGCTGGGAGGGCTGAGCTCCACGTGTTGTCAGCTTAGGAATGCACGGTAAACCGAAGTTAGAGCGATGCCCAGCTCTTAAACAGACTGAGTCTCTTTTATGCTAAGGTGAAAGGGCTTTGCTGTAAGCCCCCAGAAAGGTTTGGATTGTAATTCAAGGCTTTTTACACTAGCGGAACAGTTAATGTAAAGATGAGTCAGCCCCATCAGAAGCAGCCTTTGTACACTACACAAAAACTCAGCAGATTCTCAGATGGGTAAAGTTCGGCATGACTGATGTGGAGAAGCCTTTATTAACTTGAAATCTGAACAATAGTTGGTTTTATTCCCTTTTCCATTAAATTTTTTTCTGCGTGCATAAACTCAGCTAGACCTGTTGGAAATCCTTTAGAAGTTGTTTCCTCCCATGATAGATGATATGCACATTGGGCAATTGAAATCGCATACGCTCCAAAAAGATCCAGCCTCGCCTTTCCCATTTGCAGCAGGGCAGGACTGAACTTGTCTGCAACTGTTTCATGCACAGGAGAATAAAGGAGAAAATGAATTACGGTTTTATTTGAGTTGAAGGATTAGTTGTGGGATAATAGCAAACAACAGAACAACTCAGACAGGAACAATGCTGCCGTCTCTTAAACAGTTTTATTAGCTTACGCTGATTTGTGAATTAGGAAAACCAAATTATCTGAGGCAAGAGAGTAAGAAACAACAATTAAAAGCCTGCAGGAAAGGACTGGAGAAATGGTGATTTCTCACTGCCTCCTCTTCAAAGCAAGGTGGAGAGCATGACCTTTTGTTGGAATAAATGCACTGTATTGCACAGAGCTCCTTTCTGCTTCTTGGTTTGGCCAGTTTGCAATTGCTTGCTTGTACTGTGGTTCGTACTTGTTGATTGCCCTGGGGTCCAATTTTATTATCTAAATATTCCCCTGAACTATTTCCTCATTCTTAGATTTGAGGTCTGTTCATCTCCATTTCACTTCTAATTTGTGAATTCTTTGCCCTTCTTAGGGCTCAGAGGCAGGGTATGCTGTTACATTTGAATAACCAGAATGCTGTGGGACCATGAAAACCAGCCTCCTTGGGCAACGGTTCCTGCTAATAGCAAAAGTGTGGTCAGTAATCATATCTGTTATATTGTTATGAACAGTACGAATAAGATTCAACCATCATATATATATATATATATATGTTGTATATTTGATAATGATTTATTGACCTTGTTGAAACTTTGATGACAAAGTGAGGTTGAAATTTTGTTGGTACTACAAACCAGAGTCACATTGTACTTGTGTCTGTATTTTCCACGCTTTCAGAATAGTTGCTCCAAATGTAGACAAGGGTGAAAGAAAGCTGTTTGTTCTGGAACGGAGGATGAGTTATTTGCCTGATGAAGCCCACTTCCTTCCTCAATGGTCCCTCAGAGCTAAAACTCATTCCCCTTCTCCACAAAGAGCAAAGTGCCAGATACTGCGTAGTAAAAAGATTGTCCTGGTTGGAGCATGAGCACTCAGTGGCCAGGAGAGGAGTGTGCTTCGAGAAGCAGGGTGTCTCTGTGCATGTCCTGAAGTTTGTGCTGTGCTGTTTTTACATCTTAAGCATAAAGATGGCTGGGAACATTTATAGGCAACTTGCAACTTGCCTCTTACAGAAACAACTGCTAAAGGGTAAGGTCAAGCACATCGCTGCAGATGAAACTAGCTTATGAATTTGCAGGGTATCATCTGCTCCCCAATAACTGGCTGTGTGCATGGTGCATGTATGTGCACTCTGTGGTAAATACCAGCTCTCTCACCCTTCTTCCCCTTAGGGGTTGGTTGCCTTGCTTCATGCCACCTTTCCCGTGAAATGAGTGCATGTGCAAGGATAGCAGCTGCAGATTGCCAGTGCATGATGTCAAACCGATGCTTCTTATTGACTTGTTCTGGTGTCCTCATGCTGGAAGGAGCCTGCAACACAAACTGGAAACTGGTGTCAAGATAACTGCTTATTTAGCATGCAGGGCTTTTATTTCCATGACTTGAGTCTTTGTACAGTCAATCATGGCCTTGTTTCAATTGAAATCAGAATCCTCATCCAGCCTATTGAAGTTAGTAGAAAGACATTTGCTGACCAAAGTGAGCTTCAGTGCAGTGTTAGGGGTGGCTTTCTCTGGAGAGTGGCACGAAGGAATAGATGCAAGCAGGATTTGGTATGGGTGACAAGATATGCCTGGAATAAAAATCTCTGCTCATATTAAAAATAGTTGGAAGCCACGTAATTTTTGCTGAAATGCTAAGTATTTCCTGGTAGTTCTTTGCAGTCCACGTTCAGATTCACCAAAATGTTGAATAACAAGAGATATGTATTGGGTGATTTTTTTGAAGGAAGTAATGAAAATTAAGAATGAACTTTTTAGAAATGTTTTAATTGCCAAATTACTGGGGGGAAAGAACCAGAAGAACTGATTTTGAAAATAATGTTTCATTTTTAACAATCAGGCACAAAATGTTTTAAGTATTTTGAGAGGTTTTTGCTTTTTTGTTACTTTGAAATTCACCTAATTTAAAAAAAAAAAAAGTCACAGAATTGTAGAATGGCTTGGATTGGAAGGGATTTCAAGGATCATGAAGCTCCAACGCCTCCGCTGCAGGCAGGGCCACCAACCTCCCCATTTAATACCAGCCCAGGCTGCCCAGGGCCCCATCCAACCTGGCCTTGAACACCTCCAGGGATGGGGCATCCACAACCTCTCTCAGCAGCTGTTCCAGCACCTCACCACTCTCATAGTAAAGAACTTCTGCCTGACATCCAACCTAAATCTTCCCTTCTTCAACTCAAAACCATTTCCCCTTGTCTTGCTGTTACCTACCCTTTCAAAGAGTTGACTCCCCTCCTGTTTGTAGGCTTCCTTTAGTCTGTAGTGAGGTCACCTCACAGCCTTCTCAGTTGAGTATAAACTGTTCGAGGTTAAACAAAATGTTGAGGGTCGACTTAGAAGTTGTATTTTACTCCTTTTGGTTGGATTTCTATCATTACAAAGCTTATAAGACCACGTCTGACTGTACTGCTCTGTCAAATAAGCAGCAGAGTCCCATTTTATCAGAGAGGAGGAGTTGTTGACCAAAGTCCTGAGCCTGGGTATCCAAAAGATCTTGAGGTTACATTGCCTGAGGCACTGAGGAGCTGTAATTCTAGGTCAGGGTTTCTTAATGAAGAAGGCTTTTGTAAGAGGTCTATTGCATTGCTACAATCCATCAGGGAGATGTGTGCAACTAAGACCAGTCATCGTCGTCATTGCCAACGTGCAGTGGAGAGTCACAACCAGGTGGAAGAGTTAGCAAACATTTATGAGCACTACTTTTTGAGGACTTCACCTCAGCCAGTGAATTGTGGTAGTCTTACACCAAAGCTGTCTGGATCAGTTGGGCAGTTGTTGGTTTGGGTTTTGGAGGGTTTTGTTGTTAAACTGAAAAGGGCTCTCTGTGGGCTGTAGCGTTGAGTGTTTCCCTCGCCTACTACCATTGCGTTGTCTTCCCTTTACTCTTCACCCATGAGTGCTCTTGTCTGTCTGTCTGACTTGTTTCCTGCCTTCACGTAGGGTGAGATTCATCTGCATTCATCTGTAGTCATCCAATCTGAGCTAAGTGTCTAGACTGACTTTATGGAGAGAGAGAAGTAGACCTTTCTGGAGAATGATTCATTCTGTCCTAAAGCAGATGTTTAAGATAAGTCATATTAATTATTCTCTAGATTGCCTACCGTTCTGCACTGAGCTGAGGTTATCTCAGGTGTATGTCTTTGTTTTGCACACATATGTATGTGGATTCCACTGCAGTCCTAATAGGGTGGATTCTCTGTAAGTGAATCCTGAAGTAACATACTAAATGTTTGAGGAGGCTTATGTCAAAGAAATAGGAAGAGTTTGTAACAGGACAGGACACCAACAATTTGAGAAGCATTGATAGCCTGTGGGAACCCAACTGAAGGAAAAAAAGGCTCAATTTGGGCCGTATGGAAATACACTCTGTGCTAAATATTGATTGTGGAGTTCCATTAAAAAGGTAGCATGATGGGTTTCCCAAACCGCTGTAAAAAGGCGCAGGGTAGCTTGATGTCTGGTATGTAGCTGGTAAAAATAAAAATTAAAATTAAGAGATAGCTTGCAGAAAAATACGGTCAAACAAATAAATATGAAAGAAAGGCACAGTATTAAAGATTTCAGCTGTGTAAAAATACTTCCCACTGAAGAGTAGCAAGTGTGTATGCATATTTTTGGTTTCACTACTGCTCTGTTGCAGTATTACAGATAACTGCAGGAAAAGATAAGTGCTCTTGTTCCTGGAGAGAAGTTCATGAGAAACAAAAGTATTCCTGGATCTTCTTGGACTTCCTGGGCTTAACTTGCAGACATTATTCGAAACGACCCAGAGTAGCTGTTTGTTGTTTTTTTCCCTCACTTGTTATAGCAATTGAATTATCCAAGAACAGTTTCATTATGCTTCAACAATTCTGAACTGGGTTTTAATTGTTGGTAATAAGGATGTAGAGCAAATGACTCTTACTATTCTAGATTAGCATTTGACATACGTGCTATACTGAAATCTTCGTCTTGGTAGCCCATTAAAAATGCATTTTCTACAAGGAAATGTATGAATTGATTGTGCATTTGCTGAAGAGCTGTATAGATTTTCCTCCTTTTATTTCTCATTTTCCTTAGTTTGTTTTACTTATCTTTTACAGCTCTATCTCACCTTATTTGGAAGAGGAAAGCTATTGAGGACCTGTGAGCAATCCAACAGCTTCTGAAAAATCTTCATGCTAAAGGATAATCCTGAGTTCCCTGGAGAAGAACATAGTGAATGTTGTGAGTTCCTAGCAGCAATAATGTGTATTTGCAGTTGTGTTTTGTGTGGGGGGGTATTTGTGTTGTAACATTTGCTCCAGTACCTGGGATGTGCTGGGCATCTTTTTGCTGTGCTGAAACCAAAGAGCAGTTGTTTGGAGGTTAGGCTGCAAAACCAGACTTCTAATTTCTCTCCCTCCCACTCTCTTCTTCTACTTCCTTTATTTTTTTTCATGACTTCAAGGGCAGAATAGTGATAACTGAGGAATGATGTTGGGTTTCTTTCCCTTGGACCATTACAATTATGTAATGCATCATTATTGTTTTTTTAGCTAAATCTGTAATCCTGCTTTTGAAGGCCTTGTGATGGTGTAGCCTAACAAAAATGAAAAATATCATGGATAACAGTTCAACATACAGTTCAGATTCGGTAATTTTATATCTGGTCATACACTGATTGAAATCATTTGACTGCTTCCAAATTAGAGGTTATTTGCATCTGATATTCCAAATTTCTGTTCCTTTGATCAGTTTGCTCTATTAAATCGAGTACTGTACATTTCTATACAAATATTCCTCCTGGAAATTTGTGTTCATGGGAATTGGAGTAGTGTATCTTCAGAGAGAAAACATTCACACAATTAAGGCTTTGGTCCTTCAGCCTTGGAGAAAAGAGACCCTTCCATGAGTGAAGGCTCAAGAGAAGGCATAAATATTTATATGCTCATTGTTTTTGTTGTGAAGCTCACTGCGTTTCTGGGTTGAAATGGGCAAATGTGCCAATCAGATGTAAACATCCTGAAAAGCAGAGGAAATGAGAATTCTCTGCTTACCAAGTCAGAGAATAATCCTTGTTTTGTGATCTTAAGAAACCTTGAAAATTTCAAAGTCAGGTAAGTTGATATTTGAACCATTATTGAGCAGCCCTTCAGGATGTCAGTGATGATAACACAGCTGCAGTTTGAGTAAATTAGTTGTTGTGCTTTCCTTAAATTTAGTAAATGAGACTCTTTTTTTCTGACTCCTATGCATTCCTTCTAACTCCCTGGAAGTCAGATGCCCCCCTTGCTTACATGTTTGGGTTGCAGGCTTTGGGAGCAGACTGAGATAGAACCTAAGTGGTGCTGCTTTCTAGAGGCTACTTGCAAAACAAACCCTATAGGAGAGACAGAGAAGCCTTTTTCGTCTTTCCTCTTTCCTGCATGCCATGATCAACAGTGAAATAGTTAACAAGGCTAACGTTTGGAATTGTTAGTAACTAGTAACACTAAGCTGCTGAGTTAATACCTCACAAAGATGAATAAGGGACCTCTGAGACCTGGAGCTTCTCACTGTCTGTGTATCCAAGCAGCTGTAGCCGTATCAGCTTATTCCCACACTTTGAAAGAGTCCTTTGAAACCACAAGGGCTTACTTCGCAGACTGACGTCCTGGAGCAGAGGGGAGCAGCCTTAAAGAATAATAATGATGATAATAAACTGCTCTAGCGTGTGAAGCTGTTGAGATAGCGGGAGGTGTTTCCTGAGGATGTCTCAATCATCTCTGCTGATTGCAGCAGCAGCACTGCATGTGAGGAGAGCATTCCCTGGGTGCTATACAGACTGTCTGGGTGTCTGGGATCAGCCAGATAAGCTTCATGAGGAGGGAACGAACTGTCAGCTGGAGGGAACTGCAGAGGATGGAGTGTCTATGCGAGATGCTGGTGTTGTGATTATTACATTCTGCCCTGTCCTCAGTGGTTTAAAATAAGCCCACTGCAAGTGTAGTGCTGATGCCTGCTGCTGAGGTGCCAAAACCCTGAATTACACTCATGAGGCCCTGGCTTGTGAAGAAAAAGTAGGACACCTCCCCAGGTACACATAGTGTATATTGCTCTTGAGAATGGCTCTCAGCCTGGCATTGGAGATGGATGTTTGGAGGGGGTCACTCTAGGCAATGGAGAGCTCTTCAGGAGTTCCTCATGAGTGTGTTTTGTCACCTTGCTTTGCCTACGGGACAGAGTGGGGCAAGGTGGCATCAGCTGAGCTCCTCTTCTTCCAGCATTGACCTCTCTAGCATACAGAAGTACCTGGAGCCAGGGGGGTGGCACTGCTGCCGTTTGTGCTGGAAGGAAATGCCAGCACACAGTGATTTTCCTTAAAAGCACTGCTCTCCTTTCCCTGAGTGTTTGCAGAGTGTTGTCACGTTAAGACGCAGGGAAAGCACGGACCCTCCCTGCTGCTCTCATCCCTTCCGCCTCCTCCTCCTGCCACCGAAGCAAACTTCAGTGCGGGGGGGTGGACAGTAAGCTGGGACCAGTGTCCCGGATCCACCTAGAAACTGCCTGTTTACTAAACAGCACCACGTTCTCTCTTCCTCTCTCCTGCCCTCCTCATCTGGATGAAGTAAAGTGCTGGGATAGCAGAGCTTATACAAATCAAGTCCATATTCTGCTTCTGTAGGGAGAAGGAGAGATGTCAGGAGGATTTTTTAAGGAGGACTGCTACTTCCCTTAACTAGGGAGCAAAACAGAGGAAGGTGAGGCTGCTTTGCTGTTGCAGTAGGGTACCTTGTGAGTTCCAGCATAAGGTTTTGTAATTCTCTGGTGAAGCATAGGTACTCTCAGGTTTTTTTCTGTCCTAAAAACGTACGCCACTTTTTTTGGGGGACTGATAGCCACACAAGCACAATTCTGACAGGAGCAGTGAAGAAACAGTATGTTTCTCACTCGTGGGCTTTTCTTCATGTGTGGTGATTTTTTGTTGGTTTTTTTTTTTTTTTTGCACTTGTGCTGAAACCTCTGGTACACTTAGTGGGAAACAGAAAATAAATCTCTAAACCCGATATGTGTCAATAACCAACACTTGTGTATTCAGTTGATCTCATATCTGGAGCTGTTATTTTGGGCAAACTGCAGCTGAAGGGGTAGTAAACACTCCTGTGCCTTTCTCCTGCAGCCTCCCAGTGTGTGACCTCGGAAGGGAGCTGCCCGCAGGAGGGCATCTCCGGGGCTGTGTTCAGCCCCAGCCCCATTCTCAGCCTTCCCAGCTCCTTATTTCCCTCTTTCGCTCACACTGCTCCCCTGGCAGCCCTCGCTCCTGTTTTTCCTGGCACCCTGCACGCTGGCTGGGCCAGGAGGGAGCAGCTCCTGGGGTTGATGTCAGCACTGCTTCCTGAGCCGCTGCCGAGGGCACGGCAGCCCGGGCGCACCCTTTCCCTCGAGCATCACCTGTTTCTCCTGCCCGGGCTGCCGGCGTGGCAGCTCCTCTGAGGGGAAACCCAGAGCCATTGGGGTTGGCAGCGCTTTGCTGAGAGCACTGTCAACACCGAGTCCACTGCGTGGTTGAAATTGATGCACGGTGACTGTGATGAGCAGCACGCACCTGGCAGAAGTGAAGGGAAGTTGTGTCATATGCAGCCTTCGCGTCTCTGAACGCATTTGCTTTTGTAGCTGTGTGCTCAAGCACTTCATAGTTTTCCATGGAAATCACCAGGCTGCTGATGAAAGAGTTTTGTGTGTCCGTTCTTCCCAACAACTGCCCAGTGCCTGCTGCTCTGTATTCACAGGGGGAGAGAGAAGAGGGAGCATCGCTGTCATTTGAGAAATGTCCCTCTGAACAGCAGTAATTTATTCCCAGGCATTATTCTTCATTAAGAGCTACAGACAGCTGCAGCTTCCCTTTAAATAGAAATTGCATTCTGTAGGCATGCTATACATAGGGCTTCAGGTTTCTGACATTTCTCTGCCAAAAATCAGAAGTATTTCTCACCAAATAAATGTTTATTCAGAAAGTCTTATTTCCTGGCTTCTATTTCACATCACATGCTTCCGACGGATGGACCAGTGTGGCTCAAGGCTGACATTTGGGAGAGGAAGTTGGAACAGTTTGGGTTTCTTGCAACGCTGCAACAAAGAAAAGCCTCTGACCGTAACTCCAGCCTTAGGTTTGGCAGCTTATTTTAACAGTTGAATGCTGGATTACAGTGGGTGCTGCAGAAGACCTTCTCAGTGCAGCACATGGGGCATGTTTGGGTGGCTTCAGCCCCATAGAGGAATGTGTGGTGACAGTGCCCTCAGACTTGAGTGCTGAGGGACCGCCTTGAGGTCAGGTGCCTCTTTATCCATGTCCACGCACTGTCTCCTATCCTCTGTCCTGATGTCTTTTTCAACCCAAACCGCTGAGCTTCCCACTCCCTCACCTCTGTTGCTGATCTGCTGGCTCCATGCTTTCCATTGGTGTGCCAGCCCCAACCGCAGCGGCACTTTCCAGTTGTAGCAGCCCCAGTGAGTTGCCTTTTGTAACCAGTAGACATGCTGTGCCAGTCACATTCAAGGGATCCTCCTCCTGCCTCTGCCCCCTTTGTTCTTCCTAAACCCCAGGCACCCCTACATTGCAGTATGCAATCCATGTATTAAACTATTCATTAGTTAGGCCAGTCGTTACTCACTGGCCTTCTTCTTGGCCGGTAGAGCTTCCAGAGAGCTGAGAAGTTATAATTTCTCCAGGGCTAAAATCCAAGTCTTTGATAGGCAGGCATGGTGCCTGGGGCCACTACATGTTGCTACCGGTTGTCAGCTCTGTAAAACTTACCCTGCAGAGCGAGGAAATCTGGGCACAAAGATCGTTCTCTTCTTGTGCTGTGGCGAGCTGCAGTTTCCCAGCCTGCTACGCCTTCCCTTCATTGTCTTCCAAGCAAATGGCTGTAAGATTATGACTCCCATGTTTGGACTGAGAACAGCTTTTGCCTGAGCAAACAGATTTCTCTTTGGCAGTCGCTGTAGCTGCTGCCCCAGCTTTTTGCTGTCAGCTCGGTATCATGATTTGCTGTTAGGAAAGTCCAGGCAGTCATAGTGTACTGGAGCGAGTAAGCGAAGCAAGGAAGGCAGGTGAATTGCATCTGTTAATGATTACAGTGCCAGGGTGCTGCCCTGTGCTCTGCAAGGAAGAAGCATCTCTGTAGTTCAGTGATGTTCCTTGCAGTCATTCTTCTTTTTGACTTGGTGCTGTTAGCTAGAGAGACTTCAGGTCCTTGCTGGCAGCG